AGACTACAAAACAAAGACTATCCTAACAGCTACTTTGGGCACTACACAGGCTCAAGATCAGGAGGGGTGGCGATACTTGTGGGAAACAAGACACAATTCACTTACCAAGATCAAAAGTCAGATGACTCAGGCAGATTTATATTCGTTAAAGGCACACTAGGCAACACCCAGATAACCATGGCAAACATCTACTTACCCTATAAAAAGCAAAACGCAACACTTAGTAACATACTTCACAAACTCTCCTCATTCCTGTCAGGTTAGACCTGCCGGGTTTCGCCGAATTAATCCACTTCCGGGTTGACGGCGCTTTGCCCCGCCCCCTTCTCTGACGCGATCTTCCCACGCTACATAGGAAGACCGCGCCAGATTCAAAGCGCTGGATTATTGAACAAGTTGCTGTGTATCTCTGACCGGCTAACCGATTGCATATTAAGCTTTTCTGTATACCGAACCGCTCTGTGAACGACTACCCGCCTTCTCCACTCCTCGACCGGACTGTTTAATGGACTTCTACTCTCTCTCCCAAAAGACTGCTTAAATTGATCTCCCCAGTTCTCTGGAACTACTACTATTAAGCTAAGTACTTCTCAGTTACAATTATAAGCTAACCATTGTTAATCACTCTTGGAATTATTTCCTCTGCAATTAATACTAACTCTGCATACAAACTCTGGAAGCTATTTCTGCTGCATTTAATGAATACTAAATCTGCATACAACCTTTGGAAGCTATTTCTGCTGCATTTAATTCAACACTAAATCTGCTTACAAACTTTGGAAGCTATTTCTGCTGCATTTAATTCAACTCTAAATTCTGCATGCAAATTCTGCACTATCCTTAATTAGAATTGTAGACTTTATACAAAACTTCAGTGGCTTATTTTCTTCCTGCAATTAATAACCTGTCTTAAGAATTTAAAGCTACAGTAACCAAAGTTGCAATTCAATAAAATTATAAAATTATAATCGAAGTAATTGAAGTTCTGCAGTTGTGTTCCACTTGTTTAGCATTACAGAATAATCCAGCCTTCCAATGGAACCAGCAGATATTAACTCACAAGTCTCTGCCCTCACCAATAGAGTTGATACAATCGCTCAGGGTTTACAAGAATTGCAGATTACAAACGAGAGAATATTAACATATGTCAGAGACATACAAGGTCATCTTCCTCATGCCACTCTTCAATGGGCAAGCGATCCTGCTGTCTGCAACCCAGAAAATTTTTATGGAGATAGATCAAAGTACAGAGAGTTCTTGAATTCCTGCAAACTTCTGATAGCTTTAAGACCTAGATCTTATCTTACTGAAAGATCTAAGGTATGTTCTGTGATCTCTTTTCTAAGAGGTGAACCTATGGCCTGGGCACATTCCTTTCTAGAGAATAATGACCCCATATTAGATTCATTGGATGAGTTCTTTGAAGCTATGTCTCTATTAAATGAGGATCCTTATAAACAAAATACTGCAGATTTAACCATCAGAACTCTACAACAAAAGAATAGACCTGTTGAAGATTATATTGCAGAATTTAAAAGATGGGCTACTGAAACCCAATGGAACGACATTACCTTACACAACCAGTTCCGTCTCGGATTATCCGAAGCGGTAAAAGATGAACTCTCCCGTACAGAACTTCCTCCTACTTTAAACACATTGATCCAACTTTCCATTAGTATCGATAGACGCCTAAGAGAAAGAAAGGCTGAAAAAGTTCTCTCTAATTCTACTTAGAGAAAACCCTTCACTCCTCCAAAATTGCCTGAAAAAATTCCTACTCAACCTGAACCTATGGAAGTAGGTATAATAAGAAGTCCCATAAAAAATGAGACAGTTCCTCTAAGAATGATTACCAACAACGTTCATTCCGAATTTCTTACCTTTGATGTTATTAAATCTCCACTTTATCCAGTCATTCTAGGGATTAATTGGTTAAAAATCCATAATCCCTTACTTAAATGGTCTCCATTCACCATTTCTTTTACCTCTGACTTCTGTAAAAGAACATGCTTACAACATATTCCCATTCTCCAAATTACTAAAGAACCAGTTATACCTCCATTCTACTCCGATTTCGCAGATTTCTTTTGTAAAAAAGAAGCCGAAACACTTCCACCTCATCGGGTATATGACTGCCCAATAGATCTCATACCCGGAGCTCCA